AACCATAAAATTAAATAATCAAAAAAATATTTTGCTGAATATACCGCTCATGAAGCAAGCATTGCTCAGAAATGTTCTACCTTCATATAACCAAAATATTTCACCAAGTTCTATTTCATTTCAAACTCTTTTCGATACTCTCTCTAACATCGAAAAGTAAATCCTCAGCAGTGTTTGAAATGATTAAAACAGTTATTTACTTACAATGGAAGTATTTGTGTTGTAACCAAGCTAGACTTGACATTTTGAGTCAAACGAAAGCTCTCACTGCCAAACTAACAAGGTTAAAATATTATCGGTCATTGGCTTGCCTGGAAGGAGATATTTAAATTTTAAGATATGTGAAATTTAGGTATAAAAATGAATCAGGAAAGGTTTTCTCCACTATTATAGGGACAAAACAATGTGTTGTTCCGGCCGATTATGGGGTTTGTAGGAATTCTCTTTCATATGACCCGAACAACACCATGTTTTGTCCTTATAATAGTGGAGAAAACCTTTCCTGGTTCATTTTTATACCTACATTTCGCATATCTTAAAATTTAAATATCTCCCTCTAGGTAAGACAATGGCCGCTAATATTTTAACCTTGTCAGTTTGGCAGTGAGAGCTTTTATTTGACGCCAAAATGTTAAGTCTATCTCGGTTACAATACAAATATCTCCATTGTTAGGGGGACTATGTAAACATTTTCTTCAGAGATTGAGCTGGTTCGAAATGATTCCTGCTTATTCTTTGGCTGTTTTGTAATATATTTCGCTGCTCTTCGTAGAGCTAGTCAATATAAATGCCTAGAATTACAGTATGGTTCAGCAAATACGCTTTTGAATATGTAGTTTTTCGAACTTACTGGCCAATCAAATGTTAATTCACGAACAGCACAGAGAAATGCTATCAGTGCTCCTAGTGGCACTTTCATCCACTGAAATCCTCTAATTCATTCATCAGTTCTTCTCTCTTTTTCGTCCAAGCGAATAGTCTCGACAACAAACAAGTAAAGTTATAACTCTATGTGAATTCATATTTACTAGTAGACCTACTGTGCATTGTGCATCACTTGTAAGAAAATAAAAAGTTTTGATCAGCTCTTGGCACACCATGACCAACAAAAGCAAAAGACTTAAGACGTTGGGTTGTATTATTTCGGTAAAGACCTTTATGTAATCTTACATTTCTGATAATTTGTTATTTATTTGTTGATTTACGATGTGACTAACGTGTTTTAACGTTCTAGTCAGATCACTAACGTCATTCACACAGTTTTGCTATCTATTTTTGGAATTATTATTGTTTTCAATAGAAAGTATCAATTATCTGCACATTTTTCATTTACATAGATTGAGGTGTGAACTGTGATGGGTTAAGGTACACTCATTAATCATAGTCATACCATTTTCTCGCTAACATCATTACAACATGAGAAAGTAAAAACGAAAAGATTTCTAGAAGCTTCTAAAATTAATGAAACATTCTATTCGGAACTTATTGACAACGATCTTAATTTTGGTACAGTATTTTTTATCAACATACATATGCACATTGCGTATGTATCTCAAAATAAATTAAAACTTCATTTGACGATTGATTTACTCGGGCAATTTGCGGAAGATAAGGTAACCAATCATTAGCATTGATGCAATAATTAAAGAAGATCAGCTTTCTCCAGTTGTTTCTCAGATGGTATTGTTAAAATAGAGAAAACCAATAGTTCATTGCTTGAAATACAATGAAAGTGTGAATTGATAATGGCCCCATTAAAATCATTCAATGAATAATCTTGAAATCAATAAAAATGTTCATATCGCTCGCGATAGCTTAAATAATAGGATTTCAACTTTTTACTTCATTTCTTGATCTGATACGTGGAATTATGTGATTCAAAACAAAATATCAAGCACAAAATCTACGACATGTTCGATGTAGAAATTGAACTTGAAAAAATCTCTTCGAACAAAAACCAAAAGAGTCATCTCTCGTTTGTTTTTAATCACTCATATAGTTGAAATATGTGAAAACTAGAGAATTAAAGAATCTTTTCAAACAGTTTTGGACTCTTGCAAACTAAGCTTTAACCAATATTTTGAATTGATAAAGAATCATTATGATATTCATAAACTCATGCAATGAAACCCCTGCACTAGAAAATTGATCAACTAGTTCAATTCTGAAAACAACATGTAAATTAGTCTCCGTAAACTGTTCCTTTATTGCTTTTTACATGTGCAAAAACTTTTTGTCGCTTTGATTAGAGCATATCAAGTTTGACATCGATGCTCATAACAATATCAAATTTGATCGTGTATTGAGTGGGATTTTTTTCGACTACTAATTTCCAAGCGAAAGGCTCGCGGATCAAAATATGTGAATGAAGTGCGTGATCAATAACTTAAGAACTCCATTTTAATATCATCAAGGATTTTTTTTGAACGATCGTTATAACATGATTATCCGAGTCGCCCATCAGATTGTGTTCCTCAACTTTCATAAACAGAGTGATAGTGACAGACATTTTTTCAGAATGTACCAAATAATCAATGAATTCCACAATAGTACGCATGTTAAACGAAATAGAATGAATTTGACCGCATTAGCTAAATATTCATAGTAATATATCAAGATTCACTCAAGGTAATAATCTTAATGATACAAATTTTTGGTTCAATTCAGCAGCTAAATGATACACCACAACCATGATCAAAATAAATACAAAAAAGAAAATAATCCAAACGATATCAGTTCAGTCTTATTCAAACATCATATGGAATGCAACATGATGAGATTTCCTGAAGATCTCTATTCAAAAATTTCAGCTACACAGTTCTGATTTGAAATCTGAGACAACTACCATACAATCTTTAGGAAAGCTCTTAAAATATCATTCATTCATGAGGAGAATTAGTCAGAGAAAATCTCAGCGAGTTTTTCCATGACAAGATTCGTTTTAAAGTCTCTCTATCTCTAAGTACTTTACATGGCAACTACAGAAAACAGCTTCGCTATTTTACTTATTCTTAGTATTCCGCATCAGCAGTTTCGTTTCAGAATTTCGAATGAAATTAAACCTTTAATTGAGAAGGATTCACTTTTAATAAACTTATCAGAAGATATAATTGATAATCAAGATGATATTTTCAATTTTCATCTAGTGCGATTTCAATTATCACTCATATGAGGTAGAGTAGCAAAAAAACGAGTAAGGCACAAAGGGTCGAACCTTTGATTAGGTATATGAGCTGTTCTAAACTTTTGAATTCTCATCGAAAAGAACAAATTATTTTTCGTGGTCTTGTATTTTTATCTATTGTTTAGTAAGAGCAAATATCTATTTATTATCCCATGTGCATGTTGATAACACTTGTTGCTGTTTTCTTTTGTTTTAAAAGATTGACGACATGATGTTATATCGATAAAAATAAGAACAACACCAATGACAGCAGCATAGTTTCTCCAACACTTATAAAACAAAAGGAGGTCAGCATTTATAAGTGACATAAAGGTAAGTTCATGTTTAATCTTGATATTTAATTTTGCATCATCATTCAGCAATGTTCGCCATGTTTTTTATGACTGTCTTTCTTCTAATTGTCGCGAAGAGAACATCATCTACAATAACAGATCCGATACCATTCGGGTCTGAACGATTAAATGATTTTTTCTTTGTCCAAAATGGTACCATATTTCATCAATTTGTATGTATAACTTGCCTTCTTATCTCTTTACAATCAAAGAGATATTTTATATATGTTATGTAGAATCATGGCGCATACGGTGGTACACCAAAAGTTGTTGTTGAGTCCCAATATAAATATGTTGAACAAATGGAATCATCGATCGTAAGTGAAATCAAATATTTTTATCATAATCAAAATTTTTATTGTTCATTTTCATTTTTAAATATACAGAGTAAATGGATGAATGGTGCAACAGGATATCGTCAATGTATAACATTAGCAAAACAACGCTTAGCAGAAATGATGCATATTAAAAATGCATCCGATACTGTATTAGTCGACAATGCTAGTGAAGGAATCAATGATATAATAAGAAATTTAGATCCACCATTAGGATCATCAGATTATATTTTAGATTTATCTATTGCTTATGGTCCATTTAAAGGTTTATATCAATGGTTAGGTTCACGTTATGGTGTTAAAGTATTAGAAGTACCAATTCAATGGCCAGTTACTGGTACAGAATCCTTCATTAATCCAATAACTGCTGCATTAGAAGCTAATGCTTCTACAATAAATATTCGTGTTGCTATATTTAGTCATGTTTCTGCATATCCATCAGTAATATTACCTGTAAAGGAATTAGTAGAATTATTTCATCAATATAATATTCCAGTAATTGTTGATGGAGCACATGCACTTGGAAATATTGAAATTAATATTGAAGATATGTCAGATGTTGATTATTATTTTACAAATACACATAAATGGTTATATTCAAGTAAAAGTAGTGCTATACTTTATGTTCGACATGATCATCAACATTTATATGTTCCTGCACCAGCTGTTGTCGATTCAGCAATGATTGAAGATTTCGAATCAAGATTTATATGGACAGGTACACGTGATCGTACATCGTATTGTGCAATTTTATCAGCATTAGATTATCGACAATCATTAGGTGGTGAAGAACGTATTATGAATTATAATCATGATTTAGCACAATATGGTGGTCAATATTTATCACGTCTATGGGAAACAAAAATATTATCACCAGAGAATATGCAAACTTCTATGACAAATGTACAAGTACCAACAAATAATTTGACACTATGTCAAATTATTGTTGGTCAATTGTATAATACATACAATACAATGGTTAGTGGAGCTATTAATGTTATTCCTGAACTTGGTAATATTCCATGTTATTTACGATTATCAGCACAGATTTATCAAGAAAAAAATGATTGGCATGTATTGGGTGCATTAGTATTAAAATTATTAAAAGAATTCAATGGTTATGTCCCTGAAAAGAACTTATTGAAATTGTAATATTCTTTTTTATTTTTTTTTGTATTTCGAAATCATTATTGAGAATAAAACAATTACACAGAAAGCTTAGGTATAACTTTTATGCGTATCAATATTAGATAATCGAATGTTCTCTTACTGACAGTTATTACCGACTTTTCATGAGCATTTATTAAATCTATAGTATTTTTTGTTGCACTTATTTTCACTAACTACTTTTGAGTTTAAAACAGTGAAAACTACAGAACTTCAGGAATGCACAGGAAGCTGTTGTTGTCTATTTGTCCTTTTCATCAATTTATCCCCTGAGGATTATGAAAAGTCGCAATGACACATCAGGTCAGTAAATGATCATTCTTGAGAAGTTAGAATACATCGAAAACTGCTTGATTTGATTAAAGATAGACATAAATTCGAATATTTTGAAACTTTCATAAAGTCTTTATTAAGATTAACTTTAGATGTTTTCATCAAAAAATAAATAGCAAAAACAAACTCATACGCAAAAAAACCTCATTTAATGTCAAAGTTTTAATTGTGTCGAAACACAAGCATCTTCTCAATGGTGAAATATTAGATGGTTACAATACAAGAAACAACTTCAACAACAACGGCTGAAAGTAATGTACCAATGATCATTGGTTGTTGACATTGTCTAACTAAATCACTCGGTTTAATTATTTGAACTGAAGACTCACACTCACAGCCACCCCAACTGTATTGAAAATAGTAAATGTGCAAAAGTTTGGATCAATAATTGATTTCCATTGTGGAGCACACAATTCAGTACCCGTTACAATACCACTATGGTATCAAATAGCTAATAGAACATGATTCAGAGAGAGGGAGAGTTAACTTACTTGTCAAATAAGATATAATAATTTTCACTCTGTAAGAAGAAAAGATCAAATAAAATTAGCAAAATGTCTAGTGATTATTAGCTTACAGGTGACCATGTGTAATGTGTAAAAAAGCTAAGAGTAAAATTTGAATAAATAGCATTAGCTGTATCAATACTAACATCAATGGCATAGACTTGTGTTACATTAGATTGAGGAAAAACATCGAATATATACTGTACTTGATGGATGATTAACCGTGAGTGTGGGTGCGGGTCATTGTCATTGTATATTCTAATGGATTACTTATGATTAAGTGATTGTAACACGACTCATACCTATCAGTAGGATATGAGAAAATGGTCATTTGTGAGTAATAATTTATACATACCAGGTGGAGATGTAGTCAGAATATCATCGAGTATATTGTGGACCTATTCAAATGAGTCACAGCATATGTAAAATAAATATGAAACATTTAACGATATACCTATTAAGCATGAACTACTGAATGTGTAGACGATCTATACGAACATATATATATATTTAATTACTTTTGATAAATTGAATAAAAACTTAAGACATACAATGAAGTTGTATCCGAAGGGAATTCAAAATCTTCCATCATAAAACTAACAGCTCCAAAACCATCAGTTGTTGCTGTATATGACACTTAAAACGAACAAAAAAAATATACAAAATAATTCGAATTACTTTTATTTATTTCTTGTAAACAATATAATTAAAACGATCTACTTACTTGTACATTCTGATGAGTTTAGTCGAGTACCAGGAAAAGTTTGACATATAGCAGCACATTCATCAGCAATGACATTATATGGCACTGTAGCTGTAGCACTAGCCAATAGACATTGAACAGTATCACCATCTGTATCAGCTGTAGGTATCGGCCATGTATACGAGTATGCATTTCAAAGTAGTTTTACAGGAACCATAGCTGATGTAGGTGCTGTATTATAATGTGTGTCAGTTCGCAAATAGGCACTGAAAAAAAAAAATTAAGCATGATTATTTTTTGCACAGAAATGCAAACACAAGATGCTACCTAATTTGTATTATAAGAGCCCAACTACCTCCACCTGTTTGAAGGGTAATTCAATTGCCATCAGCAAATTGTAAAGCAATCTTAATATTCGGTGGTAGATTTATTATTGTTGAATCTTGTTCAGCACTCATATCTTGTGAAACACTGAAATAGGTACGTGGTACTGCTGCACTTATTGAAAAAGTTAATGATCCGTATTGTCTACCAATACACGCAACGTTGCCTGATCCGACAGTACTACCAATATTAATCGTATTCTGGTCACAATAGAAATAACCACGACGCTAAGTATGTCTTTGAGTGAATGAGATTTATACAGGATTTTGATTAGGAATTTGTGGACTAACCTATTGTTGAAGAATAATAAAATCAAGATAGAGATAATGAAAAATGACTTACTGGTTTCCATGTAAATTAACCACCTCGATAGTGAGATGCTTCAACAATATGAATTAACCATACAAAAATAAAAAATAGATAATCGTCTCGTGTCTGTTGCAAAAAATAAATGATTGAATGGAAGTTTCGCTTCTTTTTGACATCAAAACTCGATGGGATTAGGAAAAAAAAGATAAAAACATTCACTCAAAACTTTCAATAGAAAAAATAAGCAGAAGGTTCCCCTTTATTTTAATTGGTATCGATAGCAACTCACAATAAAAACAAGACATAGTGCAAACATATGAAACAACAATACTTGGGAATCATAAAAAGTTACCCACCAACAAAACATTTGTGCATTTCAATAAATGAAATCTTAAAAATGTGAATTTTATTTATCACAATTCCATAAAATTAAATTCTAATTTAAAAATAGTCATATGTAAGAGGAGATCTTTTTCGTTTTGTATACGATTGTTGGGCATAATGACCTATGCTATTATTTTGCTTACTAAAGACATATTTTATTACAGCTACATAATGTTCAAAAGATGTGTTAGAATTCTGTTTTGTACATTAAGAATTCTTTGATTTTCTTTTTTTGACTACATTATACTACAAGTAATTAAAAATGTATCAATTTAATATCACCTGTCCGACTGACAATCAGTTTTCATAAATACTGACTTTAGCAATATATATTTATTGTTTTATTTTCTTGTCTGTTTTTAATAAATCAATTATTGGATTCTGCACAATACAAATTTCCATTATATTGGTTGAAGTTTTGGTAAATCCTACTTTCGTCTAGAAGAAAAATGTTGCAATCATATAAATTATTATTTTGTTAATGAGAAAGAATTGAATATGTTTATTTCATTTACAGCATTTATATGCATAAAAAAAACAAATGGTTTTTTGTACGAAGAGCAAAGTTGAAAACGTGTAGAACCTTAATGAAAAATTTAACCTGAATCAAGCATATGTTTCATGTCTTTTTTTTCTCCGGAGTGTGAATGTGAATTGGCGAGAGCGAAGACTACATACTTATTCACATCTTATATTATTGAATCAAATAAATCTTCTTCCCAGTATTACCACTAGCTTTGCTATCTATGTCTTCTATTATATAGATAATCAAATTTTCCTAGGAACAGTTTTGATGATAGAATAGATATAAATATCATTTTGTGATTCTTTTCTTAGTTCAAAACTGAAAGTATATGTTAATGTAAATACACATATATTAATATTTAGTATTCTTTTTCTTGTCACACATGATTGATCATGTATATAAATGTACATAAACACATTTATTTTTATCGTCAAATATGTCTGCTACAAGTAACATCCTTCATGAAGCAGTCGAAATCGATGTTGATTCATTGGAGACAAATGCTACTCATTTGATTTGTTTAATTAAACCAGCATGGACATCGAAAAAACTAATCTTTAAAAAATTAGGTACTGATGATAATAATATTTATTATTCAGTTTTTCCAAGTGATTATCAAGATGAACAACATGGTGTTGTTGTTAAATTATATCCAAAAAATTCAGATGTATATACTAATCGTCAAAAAGAACTTCAATTAATCGAACAACTTGTTCATCATGAAATAGCTCCACGTGTTTTATTAACATTTATTAATGGATATTTTTCTACATATGCTCTTGGAAAAACATTGAATATCAAAGAAGATCATACTCAGTAAGGTTTGATTTTTATTTTTCGTAAATATTGATTTTTTAATGTTTAATAGTCAATTGATTTCTCGAAAATTAGCTGAATTTCATTCGATTTCATTGAAAGTTAATGATAGTCTTCATTTTGTCGATAGACTTAAAAAACTTATTGATTTATTTACTAAAAAAAATATTAGTTTACATAATCGACTTATCGAAATAAATGAAAAACAAGAAAAACCTACTAATAAAAATCCAGATTTTTTTACAACATTAAAATCTGTAATTGGCCTAAATACAACTTCTACGTCAGCACTTACATTAGATCAACTTGAATTACAATTAAAAGATACAACATGGACTCAACTTTCAACTGAAATTGATTTTATAAAATCAATATTTGAAAATAATTGGTCAAAACATAATTTACCTATTGTTTTATGTCTTAACAATATGGATATTCATAATTTTTTACTTGATTTTAAAAATAAAACAATATCAATTATTGAATTTGATCATTGTTCATATAGTTATTTTCTTATCGATATTGTTTCATATTTTCTTGAATTAGCAAAAGATAATTATGATAATAATTATCCTCAACGACATATTCAAAAATTATTTCTTACTGAATATCTTAAATATTCATCATTAAATTTATCAAATATTATTTATGATTCTGCCAAACCAATTGATAATGAATTAGAACATTTATGTGATCTATGTGGTTTATTAATTGCACCAATTCATTTATATTGGGCTTTATGGGCTTTTTTACAAGGATTACTTACAAAATCTACGTCAACATTTGATTATATTAATTATGGTAAAATTCGACTAGCACAATATCAAAAACACAAACAGAACTTTTTTCTTCCATTATATCGCTCAGATAAAAATAGCAATGTTCAAGTAGAAAAAATTCACTATTTTTGATATATGAAAAATAGTGAATTTTTTTCAGTTGGATATTCTTTCATAAAAACATTCGTTCTGTGCGATTCATAGTAGTGTTATAGCCTTTTTTTTCAACATTTATTCATAAACGTTTTTTCTGTTTCTTTTTGTCACATGATGAGAACGCCTCTCTTTTCTACCTACACTTTGTCCTAATGGTGGTTTTTTTTTGCATCGTCACCCACATGCTTAATTATTTTACCTCGAAGAACGAAACGAACAATGGCATTCGGATCGAACAGGCAAGCATAATTCATTGATTCGCATATGATTTAATATATTGATGCAACATTTATTATATTTGATTAGGTGAATGGCATATAGAGAAAAAAAACAAAGTCTGTGTCTCAACACACAGAACTTGATGTTGACATAGAAGTGCTAAGCAATATTTTTCTCGAGATAGTTCTATTTTTTTTTATTCTGTAAAAAAGTAAGTGTTTATGCACAGGTGAATGTGGTGTAGCATAGAAAAAAATATGACAAAAGACAAGTTTATTACTTCATTTTGTTTCACAAGAGTAAAACCATATGGACTTTCATCATCAAAACAGTCTTATAGAGGAAATTCGTTCTCATGACAGAAAATCTGCCGCATTTATTTCATATTTTAGTTTTTCCATGTTTTCTAAAAACCTTGTCATCAGTCATCTTAACTAAAGTTAGTATGGCAAAAATCTTGATCTCAATTAATAGAAATAATAATAAGATGCTGAAAAATGTCACAACACTTTCCTGAAACTCACTTTTTGCTATTCGCAATCGATTAGTTTTCATAGAAGAAAATGACTATCTTGAAAGGTTCTTATCTTATATAGTTGTGCTTTAGTATACATCATTCGTGTTGTATAGGCTATTTCTCTCGTTATAAATCTTCTTTGATATCATCATATATATGAATGTACTACTTCTTTAGACATGAGAACTTTTAAAACTCTCAACAGATGATATTGTTCTTATCTTTATAAGTATCAATGTACTTTGGTGAGAACATCGATAATAATATCAAGAAAAAACAAAATAAAACATTACACATGATAGTAGAGCCCATCGAGGTCAAAGTTTTCGGATCTAGTCGAATCGTACTTCGATACTGAATGGAATTTTCTCATCGACATTGGAGAGTCACCCCCGAAGAAATGAGAAGCTTTTTTTCCGATTTTTTCTACTCGGTGATTAACGCGTCCTACGCATTACTTAGATGACTAGAGCCCATCGAATCTGGCACAAGCCTGACAAGCTCTAGACGATAGTAGAAGATTTCCTATAATTTCAAAATATCCTATTTTTATGAAGACCTGAAATAAAAAAAAAGAAGATGAAATGAATCTTACGAAAATCTATTGCTGCATGAGAAACAAAATGAAGAAGTTTCTATCATTCACATAAGATTCATAAATCTGAAAGTCATTTTAATGATATTGTCAATAAAGAGAAGTATCTCAAAGTTTGAAAGAGTATAATAAAGTACGATAAAAACAAAAATATATGTCCTCCCACTGAAATGACTCATTGTGTACTGAATAATGGTTGTAATTTACTCGTATTTTTTTTCTCCGTTCATACACATTCTATTTACTTGGAAAAAAAGCATTACAAATATAAGAGTGAAAAATATTTTGTCCACATGTATGCTAACAGGTGAAACATAGTTGATAACGAAAATTAATATTTATGACTCAATATTTACATTTGTGACAAAGGTGAATAAGATCAAATTCCACGTTCAGATATGATTCAATGAATCATCGTTTTATCAAATGATATATATATGGCTAAGAATCTTCAAACATGTATCATTTTTTCTTCAATCAAACTCATACAACCAGACCAGATTAAACAACAATGTTACAATATCAAATTCTTTGGCTTGACGTAAATTCATCAGATCCAATGAGCAGTTTTCGTACTAAACTTGGTGATGTACAGACATTCACAGATGTAAACAGTTGCATTCAATATGTTCAATCTCATCCGAATGAACCCATTTATCTCATTGTTTCGGGTTCGTTGGCTAAAGAAGTCGTGCCAGAAATCTACGAGTCTTCAAATATTCTACAGATCTTTCTTTTCTGTGGATCAGTCTCTGCTTATACGGAATGGGCAATGGATTATTGTGATAAAGTGATGATATTTGATCATGGTGACGATCTTCTAGAACGATTATGGAATGATATACAGAGCAGATTACGCGAGCAAGCAACATTATGTTTAAAACGTGCAGAAGAATATAAACAAAGAGCTTTACAATGTAAGAAGCCATGTGGTTAAAGGAAACGTTTTGCAATAGAAGCTGTGGTTTTTTTAACAGAGATCTTACGCATTACTGAATAATAACTCAAAAGATTTTTTGTTTAATTAATTTTCGAATTTTTTACTTTTTGTTTTTTAAAAAAAAATAAAATCTTTTCAATGACTTCAGAATTTTTGTACTTAGCTCTACATATTTGAAATTTTGGAGAAAAATTACATTTTCAACAAGAAACAATCTATTATTGATTCATTTAGTTTTTAACTATTTTCCTATGGCAAAGAAACTCTGGAGGAGGAGCTGCGAAACTTCAACTCATTATTTTCTTCGAAAATATACGTGAGTTTCACAAAATCAGCAAAAGTTTCGCTTATTAGGAGCTGTTACACTCCCAACCAAGGTCTCGGCTTAGCCGACCCTGCAAATAATCAAACTAGTGAAATGAATGAAAACAAACATTTCCGCTGAGATTCGATATTCTTTTTTTAAGATTTTTTTCTTATCAAGATCGGTGACTCCAAAAAGTTAAATGATAATGTGCTTTGCATGTTTTTTTTCTAAAACTGCAATCAAAAGTTTTATTCAATTCGTAGAATAAAGTAACTTATAAAAAAAAACATTTTAAAATAAACTTTGATGACCTTGTGTTTAACTTTCGTCTTACTTTCAATTTCAATAACTGCTAGTTGATGGTTAATTAATAGGATGAATAATCAATAAAAATAGCGTGGGATAATACACTTGCTCTACAACATTCTTTAAATCGCAATTAATGCATATTATGGAGCAGTACAATTATAGAACAAAATATGAATCACATTAGATAAAAATGTGTCACCCAGAAAGTAATCACGTTTATTCATATTGTTCCGGTCCATCGCTTTCTTCTTCTCATATGTATATGAAGCTTGTTGATTCAGTTTTTTTGTATCATTCGATATTAATAAATCGAAATAAGATATTATAGTGTTTTCAAATGTTTCAAAGAAATCAGGGACCTACATTTGGACTCGGCAATACAAGAACAAGATTAGGTTATCAAACCAATATTGGTGGTCATCCTCAATGGGAAATAGTAAGTGGCAAGGTCATTTCATCTAGAAATGCTACTGATGTATTTCATGGCAATGAAATATTAGAAGTGTCGGTTGTCAATGCTTCATTAATGGATGCGCCAAGTGTTTTATTGGGACGACAGAAAATACAATTACAATCTGGTCAACGATTTCCAATTAGATTTCAATTCTATTATGATAAATCACGAGCAGGACCAGGTCATGGTGGTCGTACAATGCAAGCAAGAATTACGAATTACAACGGTCAGTTATTGTATATTAATGATACACAAACACCATTAAAACACAATGTCAAAATTGATGTTAAACAAGTATGAACGATTTATCAATCACCTTGCAAATTTTTTTTTTTGATATTATTGAATAAAAAAATCTGCTATGCATTTGATTTGTTTTAAATTCGAGAAAATTCAGTTCTGTAATTGCAATAAGTACAGTGTCAATACTAAATAGTTGATGATATTTTGGTCGGCTTATAGATTAATTATTATTCAGTTGGTTTCTCTTAAACTATTATTTTTTATGGCTAATACAAAAAAAACACTTTTCAAAGAACAAGCTTTGTCCGTTGACAAACGAAAATATTTTTGGATTAGGCTATTTTTAGCATAAATATCTTGTCACCCAATGATCACGACAATAAGTTTAGTATAAGATGGGTGTGTGCATTTACTTCTCATCATTATCTCAACTTATAATTACACTCTAAAAATATATAAATGACGATAAAGGGAAAAGAAGACATGATTGGATTTTCTTCACTTATACTGTTTAGCGTGAATCTTGAATGAGAAACATTTTCTGTAGAAACAAACTCTAAGACGCAAATATTAATTACTTATTATACTCTTCATAAAATTTACAAAGACCTGATTAATTGTATTAGAATTTGAAAAGTGAAATACTGATGATGGTACTTAGCAAAAACAAACAAAAATCATAATTATCATGAAACATAATGATCTTCAGCTAGAATCATTATCAGCATCTAATTGTTCGAGCTAAATTTTTTAATATAAAGACGTATCTAAATATATTGGTCAATATAAGTAAATTCTAATCAATAATATTTGAATCTTCTTTTGGAAAAAATTCTATACTCAAATTTTATTTCTAATACACAAACAGTTAACCATGTCTATTAGATCATTTTGACAAAGACTAATTTTTATAAAATGATGCACTCTGATTTATTTTGTTGGTGATGTTGACTTTATATTTTCATTCTCTGGAAGGACGAAAAATAAAAGATTACATAGACAAATAATGTGTGATATCATATTTACTCGTAGCTTTAAACGTTTCTTCATTTTTCTTACGCACAATAAAACATGTGGTCTCGCAGTCTTTGTTATTAAGTAACCGTCGCTAACATGNGCTAATCTTCTTGCCTTTGTCAAATTCTGCAGAGCAGGTTCACAAGTAAATTTTATCAAAAACTAACCCCGAAATCTATCTGTTCTATTCTTCGTGAATGTTCTTTCGAAACTTCGATTCAATGATTCGAGAGAGAGGTTTGGATGTAGACCAAGTGAACCCCCATATCAACTCCCACACCCTACATTGTGTTTGAATAAACATAGTATCAGGTTCGTTTTGATTATAATGTGTTTTGGGTTTTTCAAGTGTATGTATACATTTTACAGGCAGTTCAATTTCAGTAAAAAGTGCAATTTTTTTCTAAATTTGTACGTCCCGTCAATCGACGAGTTCTAAAGATCTAGTTCTGAAAATTATTTTACATAGACAAGTTTTAATGCTCTACCTAACGGTTAAATCGAAATTTCGAAAGAGAATTCACGAAGAATAGAACAGATAGATTTCGGGGTTAGTTTTTGATAAAATTTACTTGTGAACCTGCTCTGCAGAATTTGACAAAGGCAAGAAGATTAGCATACTTAAATCTTGATAGATAATAGCTGATGTAAACCTAGAATGAGCTGCGTGAAAGCCGCTATATTCCTATCAAAGTATAGAGAATGTGTTTTCATTAATGGGGAAAGAAATATTCCTTTCCCAGTGAGAATTAGATATATTTCCATGAAAATATGGCATAGTACATGACGTTGACCATTGCGGACGAAACGTGAGTTTAAAAATTTCTGTCCCTTTACGTTCGGGTGTTGTCAAATGACTAGATCTCTAGTTTTTATTGTCCGAATTCGCTAAATAATCCTTTTTAGTGGTGCACTATATAACAGATCTACGAACGAAAATTTATCACTAATCGCCTCTGACACGGAATGTCCAGAAGCATGGTAAAAAAAGACTTTACGATTCGGATGCATTTTTGAAGCATTGTCATTGGGTCCAGCCATCTTCTCAGTCATCACGAAACCTTGAGACAGAAGTTTCGAATTAGAATAAGATTGGTACATCGGTGTCCCTATGTGTCAGAACAGAATTTGTTCCCCGTGACATATTGAAGAACCATTCGATTTTTGCGTTAAAAGATACATAAAAAAAACGATTAAAGCAAATGTATATGTCTAATCTAGGACGGTCTCTTTTTTATCATAATATATTTTTTTGAAACGATTTCAACAAAAGTCAAGGAGATAGACTTTGCTAATTCTTTCTAGTGAGAAGAGTGAAAAAGAATGAAAGAGAGGCATGCCTCCCTGCTGCTTAAGTTGATTGATTTTCTTGACTGAATACCTCCATGTGGGTTTAGATGCTTCATCTGTTCTTGAGTTGTTTTTTCTCTTCTTCTTGTATCCTTATTCATTGTTTTCTGTTCTTTTTTCTTTCACTCTTCATTTTTTTCTTTCGATTTTCGTTTTTTTTACTTCAAGTGGCTCCAAGTGTCACACTGTAGCCTAGTGTCGTATCGATGCAGTTGTGCCCACATTACCTATGTTTTTCTTCTTGTAATTACAAATTACTTTTACATATTGACTATGCGAGCGCTTTCGAGCGTAACACTAAATAGAAAAATACAAAAAAAGTAACCGTGGCTAACATGAGGTTTGACACTCAAGTTGATTCCATAAATACATACAATGGTAGTCATCAAGATGTTCATAGACAATCGAAAAGGTTGATAAATTTACCTTTCATTTTAATCTATCTTTAGCATTATATGATTTACGAAAAAAGCCGCATTCAATCAAATATTTTTATTTTTAGGAAATATGCACAAATAATATGTTTTATGTTGATTGTTATTATGAATTTAAGTGCATGGATTGATTTGGAAGGTGTATTTGTTGAATTAACAATAATGATTTCATTTATACCTGAAGGTTGGACAATACCATCAGTAGTAGGTTTATGTCTTTGTGCCGCGAATATCATGCCTGCAATAGTCACATTTTTACGTTGGTATCAAGGAAAACGATTTTCTGAGATTCCATATATTTATATCATTATTATTATTGGTATTGTTTCATGTTGTGTCTTGGCTTTTTCCTGGCATAAAACTACTTATTTATTTGGTCGTGAACGAAGTTTATGGTTGATTGGATCCGTTTTTCTTCTATGCATGCTTGATAGTACATCATCTCTTGTCTTTTTTGATTATATGAAACGATTTCGGATTCGATATTTGACGGCAGTATTTTTAGGTGAAGGACTTACAGGTGTCATTCCTACATTATTGTTATTAGCACAAGGCAGTGGAGGTGAAGCGATTTGCTTACAAAGTAGTAATGGTACTACATTAGAACCTACTTTTACTCAACCACGTTTTAGTGTTACTGTTTATATGCTTCTTATTACAAGTATTATCATTGCATCACTTATTGCATTTCTTCTACTACGTTGGACAAATATAGTTTCATTGGCTGATGCTGCAGAGCTGGTAATATATGTTCAAAACAGTCCTTTTATAAAGAAAGCTATTTCTCAATCAGGATTAAATAAACATTGCTTTCATCATTGTGACTATCTCAAAACAAAAAACAAACTTCAATGTTTTCAATGAAAGTTTACAGTGAATTTCGAGTTTTCAAATGAATTCATCTTTTACCCTTGTCTGATGAATATCAGCCAAAAATGTCATAGTATAGAGCTGAAAATTCTAAAATTGCCTATCCACTATAGCTCCAGCATATCCTGAAAATTTCATGACATATGAATAAACATGACTCGAAATCGATTTTGAGCGATTAGAGGTTTAAATAAAGAGCAAAAAAATAATAAAAAACTTCTGTTGATATTGAGCTGCAAGCCAACTCTAAGCATTATGAAGCTTTCTAGACAGAAACCATTTCTGTTGTTGTTAATAGACATATTATCAACTTATTTATATACTGATTGACTAATCTATATTGTAGACGAAACTCAATGACAATACACTTAAAACAACTATAGATAATGGTGAAAATTCTCCTATGGTTCCTGCAGTCGAATCATTTAAACCATCAAAACCTGTCAAACATATAGCTACTAGCTCATTTATTATGCTTCTATGCATTAACACATATAACTCATTCGTATTATATGGTATTTTGCCTTCCTTAACTACATATAGTTTATTACCTTATGGCCAAAAAGTATTTTACTATTTTTGTTTACTCAATCCTCTGTCGTATTCCCTTGCATTATTGATCAGTGTAAAATGGTCAACTTTATCGGTTTGTATGACTACCATAGGAACAATAATTGGATCTATTTTCGCTGTTTTCATTATAATAATTGCTACACAAAGTCCATGTCCATGGTGGGCTGATACATTACATGGAGCTTTGATTATGTTATGTATTTGGTTTGTAATGACTGTGATCATTGCTTATCTACGAATTACAACAGGTAATTTTATTAAAGCTGAATGGTCAGAAGAAAAAGGTATGTTTTACTTTGGTATAACTGTCCAGTTAGGATTATTTTTGGGTGCAGTTCCTATGTATCTATTGGTCAATGTTTTTAATATGTTCATAGATCGAAAACCTTGTGAAGTTTATTGTGTAACATGAAAATTATTATTGATAGAATAAAATGTATTAGAATTTAATGCTAATGTTTATTAAATAAATAAACTATACAAACATATTTTTTTCATTAACCTGTAAATTAAAAGTTTATCTGAAAAGTTTCGTTCACATTTTCTCAAGTGTAATAATCGTGGGTGTGAGTCGATGGTGAGGCAATGCAGATAATATTCACATTCTGGTAGAAACTTGAAAGCAAGAATCTGGTAGTCGGCTCTACTCGATTATGATCGATTCTGATGGAAACTAAAAAAAATCTGGTTGCTAGACCCGACTGCCGAATTCTCTATTCCAACTTCCTACCGTTTCCCCAACTTTTTTGGCCATAAACAACAGTTTTCCAGTGACAATCTGCCGAAAATTGACGGATCTGAGATACTATAATAGATATACTACATGACACTACTATTTCGCCGATTGGTGGTAAGAGATAGTGTATTTACTGCTTATATCGTACAGTTTAATGAATATTGTTTCATAAATAAAACACGAGAAAGGAAGAATTGTGTAAATTAGAATATAAAGATGGCACCGACACAGTTATTACAATCTTTTCCGTTATTTATTCTGCGATCAATTGTTTTCGACTCAAGAATACCTTACAAAATAGGAAAAAACAACTCCATCTTATTTTTCATCATTTTTGAGGAAGGAAACTATGTTCATACAAGATATTATACACTATCTCGATACTTTTTAACATCAAAGGTGTTCACAACAGCAGCTGTTAGTCAAAGAAGTGCTTTCCAGAAAGGAAAGTTATTTAGAATTTCGCAAAATTAGATTTCAAATCTTTAAAAGCGGTTAACAATTATGTAATTCCCATTCTTTACTGGAGCAAAAGTCTCTCTCAGCTGATACAAACAAGGTCATAATATGTCGCTAAAACTAAATATCAAAGATTTTTAAGGTAAGCGATGATTGTATAGCCGTTACTTTTCGTCAAGTGAAAATAAAAATGATTTTACTTCAGATACACTCGTATCTTGAAGTAAAATTAGCAAAAACTCTACTGCATATTTGTTTTACGAATTATTGACTGATAACAATAAGACAAATTTCCAATTCTGAGACGCTGTCACATTCACAACGACTGTCCTCTTTCCGATCAGTCCTGCGAATAATGAAACTAGTAAAATGAATGAAAATAATCATTTTAGTTGAGACTCTATATTATTTTTAAGAATTTGCAAGAAATCGATCAAAGAAATGAATTACATGATATAACTTGCCCTCCATTGTCCCATCAAGACTAATAACTCCAAAAGAATTAAATGACAATTTACTTGAAATTCTTTTTCTAAAATTAAGATAACATGTTTTTTTCAAACAGTAGAATAAATAACTATTGGAACTTCAATTATCACATAAACATTAAAAATAATATTCGTTTCAACTAAAAGATACCTTACAATAAGTTTCTCGATTTTTAGAACAGAGAACCAAAATGTTGCAAGTCTGGATGACTTTTTGTTTAATTTCCTTTGCCTACTCTACACCAATATTTCTGATTGTAATTAACATATATCAACGAGAAAATACAGCATCACAATTATAAAGCAAAATATGACTCACATTAGATAAAATACATCAATTAGAAAGTAACCGCGTTTATTAATACTGTTCCGACTGATCTCTTTCACTCGTTCTTGTTCATATCAAGCTTATCAATTCAGCTTTTTTTCCTATTATTCATTATCAATAAATCCAAAATAAGATATTATAGTTTTTTCAAATGTTTTAAAGAAACCAAGGAGCTCCCTTTGGATTCAACAATACAAACACAAAATTAGCTAATCAAACAAATACTAAATAGTAAAAATAACAAAAATCATAATTATCATGAAACGCAATGATCTTCAATTAGAAGCATTATCATCATTTAACTGTTCGAGCTAAACATATAAAAATTTCTGTCATAAATAAAATAAAAGTAAAAACGAGCATTTATTTTGAATCATCTCAGTTTACAATATTACAAAATACAAGAAGCATCAAGTACAGAGGCGTATCTAAATATATTGGTCAATATAAGTAAATTCTAATCAACAATACTTGGATCTTGTTTTGGAATAAAATTGTAGACTCAAATTTTATTTCTAATACACAAACAGTTAACCATGTCTATTAGATCATTTTGACAAAGACTAATTTTTATAAAATGATGCACTCTGATTTATTTTGTTGGTCATGTTGACTTTATATTTTCATTCTCTGGAAGGACGAAAAATAAAAGATTACATAGACAAATAATGTGTGATATATATTTACTCGTAGCTTTAAACTCAATAAAACATGTGGTCTCGCTGTTTTTGTTATCAAGTAACCATCGCGGAAAATATGAATAGAGGAAAACAATCTGGCTTATATGCCTACCTCTTCACACACTTCGGAACGCTCCTTACTCAATATCGACTTTACCTTCTCGAATATGGGTGGATTAAGTGCTGAAACATTATATTTTTCATCTAGTATTACTGGCCTATTGTGCTCCGATTTGAAAATGCTGGATTTGATATTAGTAGGTTTTTTCCTCACGTTCGTTGGAAGATGTTCGAAGGTATGCTTGTTCTTCTTTAAAGTTTCTGGATTAGAGAGCAAAATGGTATGTCAGTAGACGAATAGTGCCGACTGTATCCTCGATTTCTTTCAGCCATCAAAAATTGCATATCTATATGGAAGAAAAAAGAAAAATATCGGCCATCACTATCCACAAACATAATAGATAAAGTGAAAGAAGTCAGGCGCGTGAGAAATATTTATTATGGAGAACGAAAAAATGGCTGTCAGAATGAAGCAATTCGTGTTCTATTGTGAGTAATGACACACGAAATAAAAACTCAAATAGGAAAGTATAAATCGAGCAGGTGGGAGTCTTTTCTGTCAACAATTCAAGAAAAATAAGACAGACTGGAAAAAGCCTGTTGGAATCACCTGTCTCGTGTCTATAAATCCAAGAGTCTAACCTTTTCGAAACTTGCCAATGGCAAAGAAATTATATCGGGACAAAACGAAATATGTAGAGAGCTGTATCGTTACTATGAAGAGAAATTCAAAGCATCTGATATAAACCAAACAGATCCCAATGATATAGAAATCGAAAAAGAATACTACTCAATATTAAATAATGTAGTGATCTCAGATGAAATACTAGAGAGAACAAGCGCCTTTGAAATTACAAAATATATAAAGAATCTTAAATCGAAAAAATCATCAGACTTTGACCTCGTTTCAAATCACATGATTAAGCTCCTGCCTCCATGTAATATTAGTTGCTTGGCAAGCTATTTTAATGTGTGGCTGGACGAACATAGATATCCATATGAATGGAAATTAGCGAAAATAGTAACGCTAAGTAAACTAAAAGGAGGTGTTCCGCGTTGTGATCAAACAAGACCTATATGTCTTCTTGCTACACATTCCAAGCTTTTTGAGAAAGTAATTCTGGAAAGAGTGAGACATTGGGCAGAAAGTAATCAACTCGTACCATCGGAGCAATCTGGCTTTCGTACAGGATGTCTTCTACCGACCCGTGTTCTTTCTATCTATCAAGAAGTCAGCAACAACATGGGAGTTCATGTACCAACACTTACCCTATATATAGATTATCAGCAAGCATATGACAAAGTGTGGCATGAGGCACTATTAGGTAAGTTATATCGATTTGGTATGCCATTCGGCTTGATTAAAATTATTATCTCATAGCTGAAGAACAGACGAGCATATGTCATTTTTGGAGAGAATACTTCGCAGACATTCAATATTTACAGTGGTCTCCCACAAGGTAGTAGCCTAAGTCTCTATCTTTTTATTGTTTTTCATTATGATCTTCTCTCTTGTCTGGGTGCTTATTCTACACACGCTTGTGTAGACGATCTGAATGTTCTTATTCGGCCTTCTCTCACGCCTAAATTCTAGTCTATGATCACAAATGTGGAGATCGAAGGAGCAAAAATATGTAATCGAATTTCAGTCTATTCAAAAACGTGGAAACAGCCAATATACGTTAGTAAGATCGTAGGTAAAATTTTTTTTCTCTCAAGTAAAGATGCTTCCAGTAAATATTTTCATCGATCCGAAAACGATAAAAATAGTGAAGTCTTTTAAATACCTAGGTTTTACTTGGACTAGTAAGCTGCCACTAAAACTAACCATTGACAAATGTATAGAGAGCGTTCAGAATAGTGGCGTATCCATGGATGGGCGCCGCCCTCCCACTAGCGAAAAGAAAACCTTTATTATTACCTTGAAATTTTGTATCATTTTTCTTGCCTATTTCGCAGCTCTGAAAATTTAATTACTGAGTGATACCATAAGATAAAATTGTGAAATATTGATGATCAAGCAATAATCGCTGTTGACATTCGTTGCGTCTGTCTATGCAGCCGACTTTATCAAAAAAAATTTCGAAAAAAAAGTCGATAGTTTAGAAATGATTCAAAATTATAAAAAGTCGAAACGTAGGACTATGCCGTCTTCTTTCAGTTTACAAGTTGCGAAAAAACAGAATTCTTATGTTTCATTAATATCTAGTCAAGTAATGCTCATACAAGCTTAAACCGAGTAATTTTTCTTTTTTTCTGGCCATCGAGAGAGATATTATTCTTGATTACAAAAGGATAACTGATGTTTTTGCAATTTAGCACATGAACAGTCGAATGATGTTGAAATAGGTATTGTTTGTTCTAAGTTTTTTTTTTGTTTTTTCTTTTTATAAATAATTTCATTCAATAAACAAGCAAATAAATTATAGCATATCACTCTTACAAAATAAAAAGCAGTGAACGTCAATTTGACTTAGGAAAAAAATCTAAAATATTGTGAAGAGATTTTTAACTCCTCCTGCCCGGCAACTAGAAAGAAATCAGGTAGAAAAGAAAATATTTTCCAGTCGATTTGTTGTTCACCTATCATAGGGGTAGCAAAAGTCTATTTATCGGAATAAAAAAGTGCTTAACTCCCTAACGCCGATATGCTGGTATATG